GTCACAATATTTCGTAAATAAACATCTAACGTCCGGAAATCACATAATCTCGCATAAACAAATATATCATATAGGGTGCTCATCGATATATATGCTGACACACGAGTTCATATAGACATATTCTGACATGAACAGGACTAGGTGTAATAATAAATTATGCTCTAATACTACAATTACGTGAAGACTGGCACTATGCGCATCACATACGAGTCCTAATTGTCTATAGTAATCTAGGACAGAACTGGCACCTACAATGGATCCATAGTGAGCATACGGTGCGATGTGAACATACATATGAAAGACTGGCCCTGGCCTCGGGCGAGTATTAATACCGGTGCAGCAATGATGAGCAGATAACATAAATATGATCATGCCACGGTAAATTGATAATTAGATAATTCTAATCAATGCAATGTTATTCATGATCGTAAATCCAATTAAGGCACCAATAATAATATGCATACATGTGCATCCCGTATGATGTAGCATAATTTCATAAATTCCTTTAATACGCTAATTCTTATAAACATTAAGCTAATCTAAGCGTAACGTGGAAGGTTCTTTATCAAATATATAAATGGAAACTAAACAAACATATATGCTATATAAAAGAAATGACCCACTCATAGATACTTACGAGGTCGCAGTCGTTCAAATTAGGAAAGCTAGAGTCTCCGACAGTAATCGCATCTAAGCATAATATTAGTACCCATTAGTAAAACTCAACTAAGACAATTAAATTTGAGAAAACGAAGTGCGGATTTAGAATCAGGGCGTCAAAATACACTAAGAAGGGTCTTGGGAAATTTTCGTAAAAAGTCAACGAAAAGTCAACGGTTAACCCCAAAGTCAACATTGTCGCCGAGGCGGTCAACTATGTTAAAACTTCAAAATTTGACTAAATGGATGTCAAAAATGGATTTGAGGTGTCGAAATTAACCTGGGTTTCCGAGAAAATTCCAAAAAAGTCAACTGATTGTTAACAGTTAACTTTAACGGAATATTTTATCCTCAGACGGAATATTCTGTTAAGGTTAACATAATATTCTCCTGAAATATTCCCTTGAAATGTTTTTAAATGGATCCGGGTTAGGGTTAATGGGTCATAGGCTTAGGTCGGTTCTTGGATCCGGTTAGGGCTTTTTTTATTCCACATCGGATAGAGTTGACCCGTTTCGGCTCGCAAGTTGCACTTGCCAAACCCGACTAAGGAGAATGCTAGAATTCGTAAGATTTGGCTGGGAAATTTCCCAAGCTCCAATTTGGGTTCAGAACTCAACTATTTTCGTAAATCCTTATGTCAAATTGAAGCTAAGGGAAATGAGAACAAAGATTTACCAACAGAAGACCTAGCCGTGGACGAAAAAAGTATGCAATTTTGCGGCCCCATTGCTGGAGAATAAACAAAGGGTCCCCGAGGTATTTCCTGCACCAAAACATCACCAACTCGCACAAATAATCCAGAAAACAACCCAAAATGACGATAATGAGGTGATTTAAGGGTGCTCAATCCCTACCTTGTCGGAAAAGTCAATAGATCGTCGGAAATTATGGAGATCGAGGTCTGGGTTTGAGTTCGTAACCTGGGGGTCTCGGTTTCAATTCTGAAATGTTGGTGAACCTCGTTAAAATGATAAGGAATAAGTGGTGGCATCCAACTATGGTGGTGAGTGACTAATTAAGGTTAGGCTTATTTGCTGTAAGCAACGAGAGAATGCGGGGGAGAGACAAACTAAAGGAGATGGAGTGCAGGAGAGTTAGAGATAAAGGGAGAGTGACAATAGAGGGATGTTGTGATTGAGAGTGTAGCTCGCGCATAATTGTTAGCCTGTGGTGGTGATTTTGGTTTGCAGAGAAGAAGAATATTTGGGAAGAGCAAATAGCATAGAGAGTTAGAAGGAGAAAAGTGAGGTGGCAACAAGATAGAGGTTGAGAGAGTCTGGAAAGGGATAGAGGAGTGAGGGGAAAGAGTGGGGTGTGGGCCCCATTCAGCTCACACTCTAATCCCATAAAGGATAAAAATAAAAAATATCTTATGGACGTGAAATTACCGAAATGCCCACCACGTTTGTAGTTTCGTAGAATTTTTGTTGTAATTCCGAATTCAATTCCGTTTGCGCCTACACATTCGTACCGTCGAGTACTTTGAGAATATGGTAAAATAATAGCTCAGATGCATCACAAAATGACGATCAATGAAAGTCAACACTCTCGCAACTAGGCGTATTTTCGTAAAATCTCACTTTTAAAATTTATAAAACTATAAAATCAGGGATAGGTTATTACATATTCATATAGCTTTTAATTTTTTTTTTTTTAAATCTTAAATGTTGTCACCTCCCAACCCGGGCCTCCACCACATCTCGGACTCGACTCCACCGTAACACGATATTATCCGTTTTGGGCCCTGACATGCCCTCACGGTTTTGTTTCTGGGAATTCACACGAGAACTTGTCAGTGGATCACCCATCATGGGATTGCTCTCGCGCAAACTCGCTTAACTTTGGAGTTCCTACAGAACTCGAAGCTAATGAGCTCCCAAAAGGCCTCATGCTATGTAGAGATGAGAATATACATATAAGGCTTACAGGATCCACTCTCATAGGCGATGTGGGATGTTACAATCCACCCCCTTAGGGGCCCAACGTCTTCGTCGACACACATCCGCCCAAGGATTGGCTCCATCGTAGCACGGTATTGTTCGCTTTGGGCCCTGACTACGCCCTCACGATTTTGTTTCTAGGAACTCACACAAGAACTTCACGGTGGGTTACCCATCATGGAATTACTCTCGTGCAAACTCGCTTAACTTCGGAGTTCCTTCAGAACCCTGACACCAGTGAGCTCCCAAAAACGATCGTGCTAGGTAGAGATGAGAATATACATTTAAGGTTTATAGGATCTACTCTCCTAGGTGATGTGGGATGTTACATATGTACCCATTCTTAAATATACCAATTTATTATATATAAAATGCACTATTTTAAATATAAAATGTACCCTTTTTTTATATAAAATCCATTCAGTTTTTTCCTAATCCATTTTTTAAACTTATATGGGTACATTCTTTTTAGTTGATTTGAGAATGTATCTATGTCAAGTTTAGTCGAATAAATTTAATAATGCTATTAAGCCTAATATCTATTTTTGTTTTCTGGTTTTGAAGAATGTACCCATGTTGTGGTACAATAATTTTTTAGTTAATTATGATGATTGTACGTACAATATATTGGAGAGTATACTTATTTAATATTTCTCTCCCATAAATGATGAGTTTTATTTAAAATCTCAGCAATATAAACAAATACAACTACAAATTTTAAGCTTTAATTTAAAAATATAATAACTACATAAAAATACATTATTACATTAATACCAGAGATTTTGACAAAAAAAATAAAAAACCAACAAGATTTCAGTCAAATAAAATTGGTAGTTAGAGACTGCATCCAAAGTCTCCCTAATTGTTAACAATGGCAACTAAACAAATTTCAGTAACAAAGTCTTCAAGGTTAAGATTTTGTTAAGTTCATGATTCGAAGATCAATTACATCTAATGTGTAGCGTTTCACCATACAGTTGTTGAATATTGTTGCTCACATTTTACGTAGTGTATCTTAATGCACAACAGAAAAGGAAAATGGGAGAAAATAGATGAGACTTGACCCCAAAAAGAATCAAAGTGTAGTCAAATTTGGATTTTGGAAGATTTTAAAAGACTTTTTGAATTCATGGATTTGTAGAATTCTGGGGATTTCATGAGGATTTTTGGGGATTTTTATGAATTTTGTTTATAGATTTGGATGGATTTCCAAAGAATTTTTTTATTTTTTTATTAAGGATTTCCAAAGACTAAGAATATGACACATCTAAACGTTTTTATTCAATTTAAAATAAATTAAAAAAACAGAAAAATAGCATGAAAAAAAAAAAAAAAAAAAAAACAAAAGCCACTGAAGTCCCCCACCACAGAGACGCCGTGGGGTTTAGGGTTCTTGCAAAATCCATCACATTCTCAGAAGCTGCATCGACCCAGTCTTGCTTGCACGTCATCCTACTCTTCCTAGTAAGCATAATCTGGTATGTTCTTGTTTACTGTAAAAAAAAAAAAAGAAAAAAACGTTATCTTTCCTTTGGTTCAGTGTTGAAATTTGATAAACTTTATACGCCCATTCAAGTCCCTCGTTTTCTGAAAGCCATCATCTTGGATTTTTATTTCCGCATGCAGGGAAAAGTGTCTCTGTCCACCACGAATATCATTGACATTGTTACAACTTAATCACCTATTACTAGGTGTTAAATTCTATCATAGAAGGCATTCAAAATATTAGGAGTTGAAACTTTCATACATTAATTGTATATTATTTTGTCATACGACCGATGTGAGATTTGTTCTCTAACAAAATGAACGCATTGATGTTCTAGTTTATGGGTAAATTTTTTTTTTTTTTTTTAAATGAAAGAGGTGTTTCCAGATTCTTTTGTTTCTAGGCAATTAAAAAAAAAACACATTTTTCATTTTCTTGAGAGTAATTTTCATGCATTCTTGCGGTGTCTATTACAAATTTACAGGCGCATTTATTCGTCCTCATTGAGCTTTATTGGACTGAGCTAACTTAAGTAGAATTACTAGTCGTGTTTGGTGCGAGCAAGGACTGACTTTAATGAGACTAAGTCAGACTCGTGTCGACTAAATACCTTACTACGTGGTCTTAGAGAGCCCTTGAAAAGTAGCGGATTGCCAAGCTAATCCAATCCAGCTCCATCTCTGTACCTAATCCAGTATAAAATAATTCGATACAACAAATACACTCTAATTACTTACCCTAAAAGTTTTAAAAAATTTACAATCCTTTAAAATCCTATTTTAACCACTCCCCTTTGCAACTTTTGTTTCTTGGTCAGGGGAGAGAAATAAAGTTTAGGAATTTTTAATTTATTTATTTTCAGTGAGAAAATAAAGGGTAGAGATCTACCGCAAAACCATCTACCGCGTAGCAGGCGATTTCCGCTCAGACCAAGATGGGTAAGAATCGTAAAGATCTCTTTCGGGGGTTTTAGCGGAAGCGCCAGCAACAGCAAAGCAGCGGCGAACCATCGTCTCTTCACTCTCTCCTCGCTCGCCGCCGTCGCCGCCGTATTTTGTTTCCGATTCCGGAACTGAGTTCACTTAGCCCGAGTCGAGCTCAACCAACAGGTACTCTTCAATTTCACCTACAGATTTATAATTCCTGTACTGCAACACTCTGTTTCACAGTAACGAATGCAATCCGAGAGTTTAGAATTAGGGTTTTCAGATTGATAAGAAACGTAATTGGACCTTTAGGTTTTAGGTTTTGCGATTCCTGTTGAGGGTATGTAGATTTTGGTTCTGATGATTAGCTGAAACAACTAAACTTGGAGTAGCTGTGATATTGGGGCACGTTTTGTATTTGAATGTAATGCCGATGGAAAACCATGGATTGGAATCTGAAATATGTGTTTGGCATGGAAAAGGATCAATGTCAAGATGCCAAACCCTTGGAACTAAATAGAACCTTGCATTTCCTTTTTCTGATTTCTAGCGTTCTCAGATTCAGTGATTGGTTTTTTCTAGCTGTGCTTATTGTTTCGCTGTATCTTGTTCAGAAAAGTTCCTTCAATTTGTGTATTTTTGCTGAATTACATGCAAAGATGCTTTCTTGAGCTAAATAGTACGTAGATTTTACTTTTATCTATGCGTGATTGTTACCCAGGCTTACGCTGTAAAACGGTATGTGTTTATTTACTTCTGTTGCTCTGATGTTCTTGAGACAGGAAAATATGAGCAAGAAAAAAAACCCTCGCGTCTTCTTAGATGTATCAATTGATAGGGACCCTGTGGAACAAATTGTTATTGAGGTAAGTAAAAATCGTGACACTCTCCCTTGTTGGATTTTGTAGCTTGCTTTACCTGTTTCAAGAGGAAACTTTTATCTTGCATTTTGATATAGAGTTATGCTAAACTTGTTTCTCCTGAAAATTTGCAGCTTTTTGCTGACGTTGTTCCTAAGACGGCAGAGAATTTCAGGGCTCTCTGTACAGGTATATGGGAAAGTTGATTTTTATTTTTAGTATAATTTGTTTGTTGTGTTTGTTGGATAAGTATCCAGTTTTGATTCTTTAAAAGTTTTAGGAAGGCAGATTTGGTTTTATTGTAGATGTCTGGAAAGAAAAAATATGAAAACATATCAGATATAGGATTGGTGAGCATGGGAACCACATTGGTGTGGCTGAAATAAATCAGTTTGTAAACCCATCTACTGTTACCTTTATTGGATGTGTAAATCTGGTTATAGTGTTCAATTCCATACTTTTTGTTTTTCTTGGTATCGATTTTCTTCTGCCTACATTCGTCATCAGTTAAATGACCTATAATGTGACATTTTATGCTGTCTTCTGTTATAGGTGAGAAGGGCATTGGAAAGTCTACAGGAAAACCTCTCCATTACAAAGGATCAACATTTCATCGAGTAATTAAAGGATTTATGGCCCAGGTATGTTGCCTCTTTTCTAGTGAACCGTCATCATCAAATATTACTTATCTTCCTGAAAGGACAAATCACTCTGTTGCATGGAACAGTTGTGTCTTATGACTCTTATTGACTTCGGCTTTCCTGAATGTTCATTTTCTTCTTTTAAATGGTCAGTACATAAACTTTGCAATGTCAATACCTATTCTTGCATTGCAAATGCAAAGCTTGTACTCGAAATACCTAAAATTTTAAATTGTGTAGATGTAGAGATGATGTTGTTAGAGGTAGAGATGACAACCATTTCCACTCATTTCTCTCTGATTTAGGGCTGAATTATTTATTTATCTTGTAAGTACTAATATGTCATAACCTCGTCTCTCTTTTATACAGGGCGGTGATTTTTCAAATGGAAATGGTATGAATTTCTTCCTGTAAATCAATTATTTGTTTGATGAATGCAAATTTTATGTTTTACTTGTAAATTCAAGCCCAGACGTGTAAGGATGGACCTTTGATTGGTTTGCAGGCACTGGTGGAGAAAGTATTTATGGAGGAAAGTTTGCAGGTAGATTTTTTTTTCTTGTGTGTGTAGGAACTTGCATGCGTCATAACTGTATAGTTGTGGTCATGATTTTCATTCCCCCTGCAGATGAAAATTTTAATTTGAAGCATGATAGGCCTGGTCTTCTGTCCATGGCAAATGCGGGTCCAAACACAAATGGTTCCCAGTTCTTTATAATCTTCAGGCGCCAGCCTCATCTGGATGGGTAATTTAAATTGCTTTTTTATTCATACTTTTATCTGAAATGCCATTTATACTCATTACCTACAGCCATAGATCTTCTTCATTTCCATTGTTCACCACTTTAAGAGACAATGTTTTATGTAAAAATGATTTAGTCATTATCTTTGTCAGGAAACATGTTGTTTTTGGAAAAGTTGTGAAGGGAATGGATGTTGTTGAGAAAATTGAGAAAGTGGGAACTGCTGATGGAAAACCTTTAGAAACCGTGAAAATTGTGGATTGTGGTGAATTCTCAGAAATTAAAATCCCTGTTGCAACAGAGAAAGAGAAAGAGAAAGAGAAAGGTAATGTGTGCATACATAAGTAATGACACAAGAATTATGTGCCTTGTAAATACTTTATTTGGCAGCATACATGATCAGTTTTTCGTCCAGGTAAAAAGAGGAAATCAGGAAAGGTTCCATCCTCTGAGGATAGTTCTGATGAGGAAGCTAGAGGAAGGCATAACAAATCCTTGAAGGAAAGAACTAAGAGAAGAAGATATTCTTCATCTGACTCCCACAGCTCAGAGTCTGAGTCGGATTCTTCAGATTCTGATTCTGATTCTTCTATATCTGACTCAAGTTCGTCTAGTGATGGAAGGCGCAGGAAGAGGAAATCTGTTAAAAAAGGTAAGCACCAGCGTTCAAGGAAAAGAAGAGATGGAAAAAAAAAGAGGAAGAGCGGGCGGCATTCCAAACGGTCAAGGCGCAAGTCAAAACGGTATGTTTCCTAGTTACTTTAACTGCCACTTCTTTTTTCTGTTTTCTGCCTGGGCCTCCTTTTATTTTCCATGCATGTTTATTATAACCTTGTTTTCAGGAGATCGGAAAGTTCAAGTGACACAGAAAGTGAGAGTCCTAGAAGCAGCAGAAGCAGTTCTGATGATGATAAATATGGTCGTCATGTTTCTTCTCGTAAAACCAGCAACTTAAAGCATGCAGAAAAAAAACTTCCAACCAATGGTATCTCATCTATATTATTACAAGATTTCCTCTGTTACCTGATAATAGTTTATGTGAATTATTTGTTATTAACATTTATGTGCACGCGCCTGCTTGTGCAAGATGGAATGTTCTAAAGTAGCTTTGTTTAATAGCTTTACTTCATCTAATAATGCATTTTGAACTCGTGGTTATTGTGATGTTCCAGACGTGGGAAAAGAACCCCCTCTAGTGAAAAAAATTGTTGCTGAACAGAGGCATAATCATGGTAGGAAGAAAACTGAGGGCAACTCATCCCAAGAAGAAGGTGAATTATCTCCAAAGAATGATGCACCTTTCAACAACGGGCATAATGCAGAAGCTAAAACTGCTAATCAGAACTCCGACTCAGATGATTCGAACATCTCTAGGTTTCTACTGTTGACATGCTTTTCCTCTATCTTTTTTTACTGCTATTGGTTTATTTAGACTGGTTCATGTACAGCTGATAGTTCTTTGATTGCTTGACAATTTCTGTGCATATTTTATCAGCAGAAGTCCGACTCGCAAAAGGAGGTCAAGAAACAGCCCTAGGAGCAGGCCAAGCCCAAGTCCTGATAGAATTCCTAGTGGAAGTCCTCCGAGGAGTACTAGCGAGAAAAACAGAGCTAGGAGTCCATCGCGTAGCCCTGTCCGCAGAGCTCCAGAACCTTCTACCACCAATCATGAAGGGCGTTTGTCAAGAAGCACTTCACCAAATGGAAATTCAAAGCGCATTAGAAAAGGGCGTGGCTTCACTGACCGCTTTGCCTTTGCACGTCGTTACCGTACTCCATCTCCAGAGCGTTCACTCCGTAATTCCTATCGTAATAATGGAAGAGACACTTATAGAAATAACCGTGATAGGTAATTTCCGTATCATGTTAGTGAATTATGAGTAAGAAAGTATGAGCTTAAAATGAATTATCTTTTGCATGTCTGAAGGTACTCAAGCTATAGAAATTTTTCTGAGCGCTCACCTCGTAGACGTTTGCGAAGCCCACCAAAAGGCAGAAGCCCTCCCAGGTTCTCTCTCTCTCTCTCTCTCTCTGTCTCTCTCTCTCTCTCAACAAGCCCGAATGCATATGCTTAGCCATTGTATACACAAAACATATGAGGTGAGAAAAGTAAAGTCAGAGCATAAATGATCTTTTTGTTAGAGACGAAAGAAATACAAACATTTCGATCATGGTAGACCGACATGTCTTTTTTCTTTTGTTTATACACATGCAGAGAGCTAGACTCATTTTATTTCAAACCCATTAATTAATAAGGAAAAACATGTCGCACCATCCCAGAGTCCTCTCGGATAAAGAGAAATTGTAATGCTTCTTATAAATCAGAAGCCATTATCCTACCCATCAATACATGAAGCCCAGTGGATGAAATTAATAGTAATAGTTTTTTGAAATTTTGATGACTAGGGAACGACATCATCTTATATTACCTGGTGATTTCAAATACTGGAAGAGGAGTTTGTCAAATTTCACTTAATTAACCAGAATTCTAGTTTTTCTGTAGTTTGCTCCTGCATTTGATTGGATTTGTCATCTGTTCTTTTAAGTTATGTGTTATTTTGTTTATAGCATATTGAGGCACGAATGTATCATGCTGTTGATTGGTTTTTTTCGTATATGGAGATACAGGAGCAGGAGAAGTCGAAGTAGGAGCATTTCCCGCAGTCCTGGTGGTTATCGTGTCCGTAATAGGGACCGCAGCCGCAGCCGCAGCCGTAGTCTGAGTCCAGTTGACCGACCTCCTGTAAGTGATAGACTAAAATCCCGCCTTGGACCCCGAATTGGTGATCAGCACTCTCCAGACAGAGGTAGGCTTAAGTCCAGGTCGAGGAGCCCAAGGCCCTCTTATTCCAGATCTCCAGATGCTACTCCTAAGCGTCGTAATAGAACTCCAAGGTCTCCGAGAAGGTCAAGATCAAGCTCCCCGCCTGCACAAAGGGGGTTGGTTTCGTACGACGATATCAGTCCTTAAATCTTTTTCTTGGTTCCGGCACAAGACTAATGGCATCTTGAGTTTATGTATATCTACGCAGAATGGATCCGTCGGCGTTCTAGGCTTATCTGTCTCGTTAGATTTTGCTTTTGCGTTGCAATGTAATTTGAATGTAATCGACTTTGTTATAGGATGATGTGTGGGGATTTTGATTCTGTTTTTTTCCGCGCGGTTGTTCGAGAGACTAAACAAAGCTTTAATTACAATTGAAAAATCTGATGGGATTTCATTAGCGATGGCGATCATCGACAATTCTGTCTACTTGTTCTAGTAGTAAAACCAGAAAGGCAACAACTCTCTCTCAGATTGGCTGGCCTTTGGGTACAATTTGATCTTTGAGCCACATGTATACAGGCACCAGCACATGGTATGTTGCTGCCATGACACCCAACATGAACCGCACGAAGAACGACCGCGGATTTACCGGCTTTGTCACGTCCTCTGCTTTCGGACAAAGCTGCATCGGAACACAACGACAGATGAAGAGCAAATACGATAGAACATAGGATTAAAAGGAACCGCACATTATAAAACAAGAACAAAATGGTAAAGCCACCGTCTGCTCTTGGAATTGACAGCAATGGCATTCGAGTTCAATGATCTATAGTGACCGGAACTTCCGCGATTTATACGGCAAATCACAACGTTTCTCCGTTTCTATAAATAGTAGTAGCATGGCCAATGTATATACTAATCGAACTACTACACAATTAGAATCCACTCGTTTCATCGAAGTGTTTGAATCTCAATCAACTCTAAATGCTGAACTATTGCTCCAATTGAGTCAAAATTAGAGACCAATGGTAATAAATTTTTGGTTAAGGGACTATTGCTCCAATTGAGTCAAAATTAAGGGACAATTGTTACAATTTACTTTATTCTCTTCTCTTCTTTATATTTGTTTAATTCCTACTTTTGAAGGTAACATTAAAATTCCAAAACATTTTATTAAGACAAATGATTGTCTACATTAAATTAATTTTACTTTATATTACAATGAGCAGAATTCAGGACAAGCGCAAATGATGAAGTACAATGTTTTAGCTAACTTAATTAAAATTGAAGTTAAAATAATGCTTTAAGTTTAACCAAATTGGTTAGAGAAGTGTGCTTCTCTCTTTGTAGACAAATTCGAAATTCCCTCCAAATAAATTACACAATTTATTGTAAAACATCATTTGTATAAAAAATAAAAAATAAAAACTAAAACGTGCGAATAGCTTGTAACTATTATGAGCATTCACTTTTACATTCGAAATCTCTTGTTCAATTATTCACTCTTCTAATATCGTTTATATCCCAAAAGAAAAACCATCAACTAAAACTTATTTATGCAAAAACGAAAATCATCTCTTAGTCGTTTCACTTTTGGAGTTGTAGTGAACAATGCAAAATCGATCTCTTGCTGCAAGATGTGATGCTCTTGCATGGTACTCCATCCCATATCAATTCTATCAGCAGTTGGTAGGATGATTAGGCCCTTTATGTAAGGGATTTCTATTTTTTTCAAAAAATAGGGGATTAGTATGTGAGGTTTACTTTACATCGAATTTCAACGATCTGAAACATCTATTTTGTAAGTCTCAATTCATAAATCATCATTGCAAAAATTCAATTCAATCTGAAATCATTTGCCTATTTAATTATCAAGATAAAATTTCATTGTTTATTGTATAACAAAATATTCGTTAATTTTTTTGAACTCAATTAGATGTCTTAAACATTTTCTATTTGGCTAGTATTTTGCAAGGATGATCTATAAGTTATAACTTAAAAAATAGACGGTTCGAATCGTTAAAATTTGATATGATATGGACCCCATACCCCATTTTTATAAAAAAAATAAGGATCCCTTCCCTTAAATGTTTCCGATAAATGTAATGGACAACTTTTGGTGGGATCTAATTGTATAAGAGCTTTTTTTTTTTTTTTTTTTTTTTTAAACCATCTAACACTGAAGTTTGTTGGCTGTTTGCCAAAAAATGTGCTCCTTTCATTTGTTTCACTTGCTGCTCGATATACGCCTTTTAACTTGATCTTCAATTTATTTCGTCATCTTATCTACATCAAATTGGTCTCAAACTGGTTTTATTCTTGTTATTTTTTTTTAAAGTATTAAATTACGAATTTGAACATGTAACTTACAATTGGTATAATTTCCTATGTGTTAGCAAAGTACAAAGGAAGTCATCTAGTGAAATAATTTAAACACCATATTTTAGTAAATGAAAAATATAAGAATAAAAATAATTCAAAAATTTGTTACATTTAAGTACACATGTTATATATTGGATTGAAAGTGACAAATATTATTGAATGGCGCCAGTGTCATGATTCCAAGTCTCAAGACCTTAGTTTCACAGTAATGTTTAGGTGTATCTGAAACATATGGACATGGTGTTATTATTTCATTCAAATTATAATAAATTTTGTTATATTATTATATTCTAAAAATTAGACATATCAGTACATCAGTATTATTGCACTTAGATTAATTATATGCATGTAAATTAGTGTCCAGCTATCTTATTCCTAATTTTTTATGTATTGAATTACGAATTTGAATGTGTAACCTACACTTTACATAAATCTTTACGTGTTAGTATGTACAAAAGAAGTCGTGTAGTAGTATAACTTTAACACCATAAATTAGTAAACACAAAAGAAATAAGAATCAAAATGGTTCCAAGACCTGTTTCATTTAAGTACGCATGTTATACATTGGTTCAAAATGATAATCAGTATTCATTGGCGTCGGTGTTCAAAATGATAAGTAAAATGATAACTATTTCATTTTAGGTGTACTAGCAGATACCTACACACACTATGTATGAACAATTTCATTTCATTTTGTTTTTATTATGAAGTGGGATTAGTTTTTAAAATTGTAAGAAAAAAAATCAGTTATGAAAGTTAGGATAATGATAAGTGGTTTCTTCTAACGTGGGGATACTTTTAATTTTTTTATTTTATTTTATTTGTAATTTTTAAATATGGCATGTCATACTAACCTGGTTGTGAGGTTGCTAAAAAAAATAGCAAAATTTAGTTTTGGTGAAAGGGTTAAAATGATAATTTTCTGGAGTTTTGATTAACAAGCAAGATTTTATTAATAAGTAGTTTAAATTATTATTATTAGCATTTGTCTACACACTTTGTGTGTATGAACACATTTTTTTAGAAAATGAGAAGGAGAGAAGGAGGGAGGGAGGGAGAGAGAGAGAACTTGGGAGGAGTGGGAGATTTTTGTTCTCAGATTTTTTTTTTTTAATTTTTTCTAATATTGGAGGTATTTTAATATCACCTGTAGATGATGACACATCCCGATCGAGATCAGGTCATGCTGGCCGTCACGTGGAAGTGACGTAGCCATGTGCACAGTGCGGAAGCTAATAAAATAAAATAATAATAATAATACGAATAAATAAAATCCGGCTTAACACAAGGTAATGACAAACATGTGCAAGAAAAGTGTAAATACAACGTTCAGAGCAATGAAAAACCTAATGCAGTCTAGGAGAAAACGACACAACAAAAGTACACCCGAAGGTGGTCCTACGCTGGTGTCAGTCTGTCAGATATGTCGGGAAGATCCTCGGGGAAGCCACCAAATGTGCTAGCTAACTAGAACCTGGAGGGGCGCAAAACAAAAGCGTGAGTGGGCAAAAACAAAGCTTTTCAAAAACCATTTCAAAACAAATTTTAACCCTTCGCCGTAAAACCTGTATACTTCCCAGAAACATAATATATATATATATATATAATCATGCTCGGAAAATGTGCCATGCCAAATGCCTCGAATATATGCAAGTGCTCAGGTAATGCCAAATCAAATGCCCTGAAATCTGTCAGCCGGAGTCACCTAACGTGACCTGTACGGCTGAATCTAGAGCTCAAATCTCCATCTCGCTAACTATACCTGCACATGAGTCAGAACCACCTAAAGTGGTCTGTACGACAAGACTGGGTGTAATATAGGTACGCTCAAGTGCTACGATCACGTGAAGGCTGGGCGAATAATCGCGGGTCACCTACGAGTCGGAACCACCTAAAGTGGTCTGTACAACAAGACTGTGCACCTAACTTGGATCCAAGATGAGCGTGTGGTGCGGGAGGTGAACATCACGTGAATGACTGTGCCCTACTCTGGACGGGTGATAGGAGCATATTTAGGCGACTTACTTAGCTTGTTTTCGTACATTTATGTTGTTAATTCATAGTTGTTTTAGTAGTTTAAGCTATTTTCGTTTGTTTTTAGGTCCTAATGGCAAAGGGAGCAAGAAAGTGCATTTTGAGGCTATTTGGAGCATTTTTGGGCATGTATTGAATAGCTTAACCATGGAGCCAAGAGGATGGACGAAATTGAAGCCTTGTGTGCACTTTAGGACATAAAACAAAGGGCCTAGCCCAATCAAACAAAGCCTTAGAACCAGAAATTCCCATACAACACACCAACACACCCTAGTTGTCATTCCACATGCACTCCCCTTGCATTTTCAGCCATTCCATTTCATTATTGCAGCCACCATTCACTCTTTATTCCACATGCATTCATCATCACACACCCTAGCTGCCATTCACATGCATTCACATGCATCACAACCCCAAAACCATCAAGAAATCAACCTTGCCGTGGCTTCTCTCCCATTTCCAGCTTTTCCCTTTGCATTTCCCTTTCATTTCAGCCACATGTATCCTTCAATTCAGCCACACTTCCACATGCATTCATCATCATTCACCATAATCCTTCCCTCACATGCTTTCCCAACAAACAAATCAGCCAACACATGCACCCATCACCCAAAACAACTACTTGTCGTGCACATGCATTCCCATTTGGCAATTCCAGCTTTCCATCCACCAACCTAGCTGTTTTTCACATGCATTCCCTTCATCATTGCAGCCACATTCTCTCACATTCTCACCCATTCTCTCCCTATAAAACCATGCAATTCCATCACACAAATCATTCATTCCACACCTCCATTCATACACACCACAACACAAACACAAATCCTGAAAACTCCCCTTTGCCGTGCATCTATTCCAATTCCAGCTATCTATCCTTTTCCATTTCCACCACTCCCCACTCCATTCCACATACAAATACCCTCCAAACCAACTATCCTTAGACCTTGTACTACAACAAAGAGGAGGAGAAGGGCCTAAACGTTCATACAATTCAAGTTTGAGTTGTTGGAATTTTTAGGTGTTTTCTTTTCCTTGATTTCAATGCTTAAATTTACTTATCT